AGGAATATATAATGTACACTTCATCACGTGCTGGAATGTACAACCTCAGCCCTCACATAGACCTTCTGCAAACTCTAGGGTTTGGAACAACCTGTTCTAAATTACTTGTACACTAAAGTTTGTGAAATACTGATAAAGGTATAGCAGAAACTGCAACATTATCATAGCAGTAACTATGTCCAAAACATGCAGCATCCCCCTTGGGGGTGATTTCTCGCTTTCTGTCTGTCTCTGTCTTTCTGGACAGAGGACATGTCCTATAGCCAAAACAAACAAACAAACAAACAAACAAAACCTCTCCAAAACATGCAGCAGAAATCATGAAAAACAATACACAAGAAAGTGAAGTCTGAAAATTGCTGTTTTAAAGCAATGCCTCTATTATAATAAAATCTTATGGTAAACAAAAGACACTTACTCTGCAAAAAAGAAAATACATTTGACTTTGTTATCGCAACATAGTCCCAACTTGATCGTTCTCTTCTAGAAAACTTCGAACCAAATCACTGTGAAACAGCTAATTCACACTGAATAAGGCTTTAGGTCTTAGATAAGGAATCAATATAGAGGCTGAATATTCTGTATCAGAAATGCTTGGGAACAGAAGTGCCTTCAATTTAGGAATCTTTAATATTCAGATACATAATGAGATTTTCGGGGGATGAGACCCAGATTTAACACAGCGTCACTCATGTTCCATATACAGCTCGTACCTAGAGCCCACGGTAGCATTCCACATGGATGTCCTGCAGCATCCCAACTGCACTGGGTCACGAAGTCAACTGTGGAACTGTACACTCATCGCGTCATGGCGGTGCTCCAAAGTCTCAGATTTGGGAACATTCTGGATTTTGAACTTTTGGATTAGGGATGCTCAGCCTTCACAATAACTAGTGCTGGTTTCCACATCAAGTGTGCAAATGGATCTAACACCCACTGAGGTAGTAAGTATTCATTTCTAGAATAGGCAAAATGAGGATTTTCTTATTTGGTCTTCATTTCCCCTTAAGGAATTTTAGAAACAGGAGTTTCTTCTTCCTCCTTCTCAGTCTTCGGTACAGGACCCTCCTCCTCCCCACCTCAACAGAGTGGAGGGCCTCTGCACCTGATCCCGGCTCACCTCTTTCCTAGGTACACTCACTGGTTAGGTGGTCTTACCCAGTCTCCTGGTGTGAAATCTCATCTGGATGCTGGCTCCCAGGTTTATGCCCACATCCCCACTCTGGCTCGGACACAGGCCCAACACACCCAACCGCCCATTGTCCTCTACGTCCCACACACGAGGCACTTACCTCCATGCCCAACACGCTCGTCAATGCAGTTCGCCCTCACATCACTCAGAGCTCTGCTCAGGAACCACTTTAGAAAAGCCTCCCATGACCATTCCACGTAAAAGAGATTTCCCTTGTTCTCCATCCCACAACGCCTGTACATTTGTCACTGTACTCATCACAAACTGTTATTTAAATTATTTATTTCAGGTAAGCTCTGTAAGAGTGTCCTTGTTCAGTTCTCTCCTCAATGCAAAGAACAGACTCAACCAGTAGGTATTAAGGGAAGGAGAGAGCACATGGAGGAAAGACACACAACTGAGGGACACACATACAAAGGTGCATCTCACCAGTGCACAATCGCAAGGACAAAGACACTTACTTTTCCTTTTTCTCTTGTCTGTGGGCCTCCCTCGTAATCTGAGCTGCTTTTCTACTATACGGGTGGATGACTTTCTTTTCCCGTCCTGCGCTTTTTCCCTTTGGTGCTTTAGGCTAAAACATAGAGAAACAGGAGATACACATGGTCAGATGTATCAATGGCTGTATACGAAAGTGTCTCTAAAGGCCAATTTTAAAAACAGTAACATAACAGAAATGCAGTGAGCTAGAAACACTACCAAGGGTAGTCGTGTGATAAGCCAATGCGTTCAGTAAGTCTAACAACTTCTGTTTCCAGTTTTGATAAATGGTGATACAATATTCAGAGGTACTCTCCAACAGTACAAAAAGAAAGGCACGGAGGGGTCAACAAGCTCAGCTCTCAACCGTTCCCATCCTCAAAGTACGTACTGCGAACAGTGAGGAGACGCACAACCAACGGGGAACTGACATTACAGCGAGAGGTGGGAGGAGAGGAACAGAGGGTGCGTGGAGTCTCTGTAATGCTGCGAGAGGTGGGAGGAGAGGAACAGAGGGTGCGTGGGGTCTCTGTAACGCTGCGAGAGATGGGAGGAGAGGAACAGAGGGTGCGTGGGGTCTCTGTAACGCTGCGAGAGGTGGGAGGAGAGGAACAGAGGGTGCGTGGGGTCTCTGTAACGCTGCGAGAGGTGGGAGGAGAGGAACAGAGGGTGCGTGGGGTCTCTGTAACGCTGCGAGAGGTGGGAGGAGAGGAACAGAGGGTGCGTGGGGTCTCTAACGCCGCTCACAGAAAGGAGAGGGCAGTGAGCGACTGGCTAATTGAAGGTGGGATCATGGCCGATGCAAATTAGAACAAAGGAAAGAACAGAAACCATCTTAAATTAACACAGTCAAAGGGAACAAAGTCCTTTCCCACTCAAGCTTTGTGTCAGTTAACTAGCTCACAATTCAATCTCCAAACTACACATCTTGAGAATTTTTTTATTCCTATGTAACCTTCCATCTTAATGTCATGTATGTTATCTTGGAATATGTCATAGAAATCCAAAATAATAACAGCTTGACCCAGACAAAGCTGAGTTCTCTCCTGTTAAAAGTAGGAACTACAGGTTCTGTTCCACGAAGCCCTGAGGGATCCAGGCCTTCCCCTGCTAGTCCACCATCCTTAAACTTGCTTTCTATGTAGTCTAAGATGGCTTCATACCACCTCTACACTCAAGCCAGTGAGAAGCAGAAACAAAACTCGGAAGACACACCCCTTTTTCTAAGAGTAAGACCTGGGACGTAACTATTCTTTGGCTCACATCTCCTTCACCAGAATTTAGCTGCAGTGTTACATAAACACTATTTAATATAATCTTTACTCGCTTAAAAAATAAAAAGTTACTATAAAATAATAAGACTAGGGGACAGCTGCCCGTCTCTAACATACCAATTCCCCAAAAAGCCAAAGGTCTCTAGAATCTTCTCTTCCAAACTACTGTCACTTGCCTTAACTCAGTCCTCAGGGTCTGTCATGGTTTTAGGTTCTCTCTGCAAGGAAGCAGAGCTTCTCCCCCCAATACGCTCATCTACGAAAGTCCCTCTCTCCTGTTTAAAGAGCACCACTAGCTCAGGTAGGTCTTTAAGATTTAGCATTAAAACCATCTCTCCCGACTACCTAACCAGAATCATTTCCCATGCTTACTGATAAGCGGCAGCTCAGAATCATCTCCTCTGAACAACTATCTAGGCAGACTTAATTAAAATGATCACCATGGGCCAGACAGTGGTCCAGTGCAAAATGCCATGCTCTGACAGGCGATCCCATGGGAGGGTTCCTGGGTCATCTCTGCAGACCTCCCCGAGAACACCAGGCACAGGCATGTCCATGATGCGGGGCTGGCTGAAGGCTGGAGGTGGACCACAGTGTGAAGCCCCTGTGGGAGTTGCAACCTTGTACTCTCTCTCTGGGTCAGGAGATAAACTTAAAAAAAAAAAAAAACTCATTCACATAGGTGCTCATTCTTCCAACAAACGTGCAGCGCAATGAGAGCACTGAATGCTGAGAAACCTGACCAGAAGAACATCTAAGTCTGAAACCCAGGTGGCACGGCAATCTGGTTACAGGTACAAAGAATGAAGAGTAAAACATCAGACAGTTCAGTGTTGTCTGTGCCTCTGTGTACATGGCAAGCAGGTAGAGAAATGGAGATGTTGAGTTTTTGAGCAGAAAGTCCACCCGGCAAACCTGTGTGAAGTAAAAACTTTCAGCACACGCGGTGGGCGGCCTCTAAGACAGCCAGATGAACCCCCACCACTGCAGTCATGTCCTGTGTGATCCTTGCCTATGAGTGTGGGCTGGACCTGGTGACCAAATTCATCAACGGCATTCGGTAAAGACAAGGACATGGCAACGCGGGGGCGAGGACCCTGCCTTCTGGTCTGGGTCTCCTCTGCACGTGCTCTAAGGAAAACCAGGTGTCCTGTGCTGAGCTGCTGGGAGGACACGTGACAAACAACTGAGGGAGGGGACCCAGCCATAAGCCAGTGAAGAACGAGGTTCTCAGGCCGGCCGCCCACAAGAGGCCAGCCCCTACCAAGAACCAGAGTAAGCCTCGAAGTGGATCCTCCCCAGCTGGGCTCTGACGCCACAGGCCCAGTGACACTTCAGTTACGACCTGGGAGAAGCCCTGAGGCAGAGGGTCCAGAAACTACACCTGACCTCTGACCTACAGGAGCTGTGACGTGATGCCAGGAACTTTTTAAAAGTCATACAAAATGGATACCATGAGAAAATGATGCCTAGATTTCAAAATGCTCTGCACCAAAATAAACTCAATACTTTAATTCCATTTTCCCAAGAATGTTTTGAAGTCCTCTCACTTGTGCTGTTAAAGCACTAAATTTTAGGACAACATTCATACAGAAATAGATACTAACAATTTAAGATTAAAAAATATAAAGCAAAGGTGTGCTCTTTCAAAAGATCATCTTGATCCCATATGTTGTAACAAATAAAACACTTTTTTTTAAAATCCTGAGCAAAAAAGACATATTCTCTGAAACTGCTAAAACCTAACAAAATTGGGGCCAGCAGATGGCATGGTGGTTGAGGTGTTGGACTCCCACATGGCCGATGGAGGTTCAAGTCCTAGACCCGGCAGCTTTATTTTTCACTCTCCATCTCTGTCTCTCTGGTCAAACTGAAGAATAACAACAACAAATAAAGTCAAATAAATAATTTTTTAAAAAATTAACAAAGTTGCTGTGAAGTTTCAACAGTATGTCCAAGTCTACACAAAATTTCATCAAAACACTTAAGAACTGTCATTTGAAAAAGAGATAGTATGGTATCCTTTGAATGCAAAAATGTCCTCACAACTTTTAAAAATTCTGGTTTAAAAACTTCTAAGGCTCAGTAGAAACCAAAGTTATAATGACTCCTCTATTTCTATGATTCCTTATAATAATTTATTCATGAAAAGTTGTCTTAGGGCAGAGTGTGAATATATAATAGGCATGGAAATACGTGCAATAAATGTGCTACATTTCAAAACAGCTTTCCATCTCTCAATACATCAAAAAGTGCTTCAACAGGAAAAAAACTGACGCAAAACCTGTCGATAAAATGTTAATTCAGCAGCCTGTTTAAACGAAGTAGGCTCAACTAAAAAGCAATTGATCTCCATCAGTCAAAGTTTCTCCAGAATGATTTTGCAGAGCACCAAGTGATTCACAAAACAAGGCACAATGTAAATATGTAGCAGCACTGGAGAAGAAGGTTTACTTTTCTTTCTTTTCTTCTCTCGGAGGGGCTCTTTAAGGGGGGTACACGAGCCCTGAACAGGGTTCTTCATGCTACTGACCTTTTCTCTCCAGTGTTTTCTAAACACTCAGGTATCCACCCAAACTTGAACAAAACAAACCAGCGTCAGCGCGTGGGGCGCAGGGGCAGGATTTGGGGTGGCCATGTGTCGCTGAGGGCGGCGACGGACGCGCAGGAAAAGGCCATCGGGCCCCGAGGCTCCTCCCGGCGGGGGGCGCCCACCCAGCCCCGC